CAATTATCCCCATTGCTATCAACCTTTTTAGATGAAATCAAAAGCAAAACCGTACGGGCTATGCCCAAAATAGATAATATCAAAGCAGGATACTTTGAGTGTCGTTGTCCTTAACAAATGGGTATCAGAGCCATGGTTTAAACCTAACTGTGTCGGTGAAATCCTCGAGTGTCGAACAAAGAAGTGATGAACGTCGAAAGGTGTAATCCGTGAGTGTGTTGTATTAGGTTGTGTTTCGATCTTTGTGCCTTGGATATAAGCAAACTCTCGTTCCGACCTCTGAGAGTAGACATATTAGTGACTATTTGATGGGAGACTCAATGATAATTTGTTCAAGATAATGATTGTTGAATTTGTAAGGAGAGTGCAGACAAAATCCCACATTGGCTACAATTATCTCCATTATTGACATGAGGCTTTTTTAAAAGCAAAGTTGTGAGAGATATACCCAAAACGAACAATATCATATTATTGTGGAGATATTTGGGGTAACATTGTCCTTAACATCAATTAAACCCTTGGTTTAGGTTAATATCTTTTAGACTGATTTGGAAACTATTTTTATATTCTACAATCAAAGTTGTAGAAATTTTGAAAACAGATATGGGTACATTTTCATTATTTTCAAAATTTAAGTTTAAAATTTTAAACGGTGGAATTACATTAAAAAAAATAAAAAAGTGGATAAATATACTCTTTCATGTTATAAACTCATTTTATTTTTGTTAAAATTAAAACAGGTAAAATATAATATATTATAAATTAGATAATATTACAAAATAATAATTATATAAAATTTATAACATAGATATGTTAATAAATTAATTAATAATATTTTAGATTGAACCAAATATTTATTACTAACTATCAATCATTTGTAAATATATTACGAAACACACTTTGAATAAATTTTCTTTAGCTCAGCATTAAATTCTTCCATGTTATGCTGCTTTATGTACCTTGTATATAAAGAATAGTAAATATGTGGTTCTTGAGCTATTTTTCTAAGAGTTCGTGTTAATTATGATGTAATGGAGAATGCACAGATTTTGATTTTTTAAGATATAAATTGATATGCATGTGACGATTTCATGCAAATGTTGGATATAAATTAGGGGAAAATTTTGAAATGATTATGAACATGTGAAATATTGCATGCATAAGATGATATAGAGGTTTTTTAGTGATGCGTGAGAACGATGGACATGTAAAATGATAAATGCGAGATATATTCTTTTAATTTTTTGACCTATGAGACATGATGCATGCGAAAGACATAGAGTTTTTTTTTTGTTTAATTTTCCTTACGGAGAAAAAAAACTTATTTAAATGTGCTACAAATTGCTCCAAGAATATGATAAATGCTTAATGCAATTATTAATACATTATAAATGCATGCAAATGTAATGGTAGACTCTAACTCATCCTAAGAGAGAGAGACATAAATAT